TGAAGATGAAGAAAATTTAGAAAGAAAAATTAATAAAACATTTCTAAATGTAAATACTCATTATATTATTTATTTAAATTTTTTAAATTTAATGTTTTGATATTTTAATTAAAATTAACTTTTAGAAACTACATTTTACTAGAAATACAGAACAAAATGTTATAGAAAATGAAAGAAAAAAATATTGTAAGTTTAAATTTTTAAGTTTTTTCATATAATGTATATAATATTTTGATAATTATTTTTTTTATTAGTGGAAACACACAAAGATAGTTTTGAAAATTTAATCAAAAATATTAAACACATTGATACTACAAAACGACAATCAGTAAGACGTAGTTTATTGAAGGAAAGTGTAGAAAAAGAGATTAATGAGGATGTTCCAAATAAATGTCAAACAACGGAAAATTTAGATGATTCAATGATTTATACTGAACAAAATGACTTTAATTCCTTAAAATCTAATGTATATATTGAGGATTCTGATTCAGATTCTACTTGTCCATTACAAATGTATTCTAGTACTGAGCCAAATAAATTTTTTAATGTAGAATCATCTCCTTCCAATACTGTTTTACAAAATAAATCTGAGACAAGTGATCAGGAAAATGTTGATCAAGAACAATCAATGCTACAATCTAATCATTCATCTATAAATAAAATAGAAAAAAATGATAATTTAAATGCATTTAATGATATTTCTACTTATGATTCACTGACACAATCAATAATGGTAAACACATTTTGTGAAGATGTATCAAATAATTTTAAAGATCTATCTAATACTTCCAAATATAAGAAGTTACGAAAAAACAAAGAATTATCTTCAAAAAATGAAATAAAACAGATAAATTCTGTTAGTTCGAACATAAAAGATCTTGATTCTGATAGAACTCTAGATCAAGAAGAAAGACAAGATAAGAAATCAAAATCTATCTTGCAAGATATTGCATGTGATTTATCAAGTAATGATAGCACTGACAGTAAATTTAATTATGGTATGTAATAAGATTCTATTAAAAGTTAATCAAATTTTATTTTATATTTTTTATGGATATTATATAATATCTTTTATTGATCCATATATGGTTCAATATAAGCATTCTCAAAATAAAAAAATTATATAATTTTGATTTGACCATAAAAAAAATTTGATTTATCATAAAAATCATATATTTTTGAATTAATTATTATTTTAAAACAATCTTACAGGAGAATTACATTCTATTAATTATGGATTTTTAAATAATAGTGTAATCAATTTTTCAAATTTGGAAAAAGAAAATGTAAGTTCTTCTCCTGAATATAATAGAATTCAATCTCTTCAAAAGAAAACACGCGATTTAATGCAAACTGATAATAAAATCATACCAAATATAAAAAAAAAAATTAAAAAATCATTTCATAATTATTCTCCTGAGACTAAAGAAACAAATATCGAAGAATCTTTATGTACTTCTAATGATGAAACAATTAAATGTTTACGAAATAAATCACGATTAAGAAAACGAGAACGAAATATTACAGAAGATATATCTGTTTTAAGAAAATCTACTAGAAGAAAAATAAAAGATAATAATTCATAAAAGTAAACTTTAAATTAAGTGTTTTGATTTATTTTGCTTGAAATCTAGTTTTGAAATTTTGAAATATAATGATGTAAAAAATAACTATTTCTTTGTATTAATTTATATTTTATATTTGACTTTATTATATATTTTTTATTAAATATTTAATAAATAAGTATATATATTTATCTTACATTAAATATAAAAAAAGTAATCATACTTTAATTTTTTTAATATGTACAATTTTATTCTCCTTCTCCTTCTAATATATTAATTTATTATAATTGTTATAATGTATATATATATAATTTTAATATATATTTATTATAAAGAAAAAAAAATACAAAACTGTTTATCAAAGACATCAAATTTTATTGTAATGTTTTGATCAGAAAAAGATCAACAATGGTAAAATGACAAACACATAAAATTTTACATTTCACCTTCATGTAGATATTAACAATAATATAAGCTTCATATTAATAATAATAATATAAGAAGCTTGATTTACTTAACACTAAAATAGCTGTCTTTGACATTATTTAGGCATAAAATATGTGTCTTTATTTTATATATTGTTTTTCATACACTTTGGTATCATTTATACACTTAATTTTATGTACATTTTATTTTTTCTAATTATATTTTCTAATATTTTTTATATATTTTTTATATAGAACTTTAAAAGCTTCTAACATTTTAATGGACTATCACATTTATGAAAAACATTTTATTCTTTTTTAAATACACTTTGTTCTTTTTTAAATATACTATTATAATTATAGTGATTTATTATTTTCGTACATTATTTTTATTTTTGAATAAATATAAGCGCAACATATATTAAGAGGAATGAAATTTTTAATGATTTTTTTTTTTAATTGAGTTGCGCTAATAATTTTTTGATGTTAAATATTTATAAGTGTTTCTGAAACTTTTTTTCTTTGCGAAACCAATATATTTTAAAAATTTATATGATAAGTTTCATTTTTATAAATATATTTGAAAAAAATTTCTTTATTGGTTAATATTATGTGTTTTTCTATGTATAATTAAACAGTTAAATTATTATTTTGATTAAATTGTTATATCGTATATTGTTTTATTTTCATTTTAAATGATCATATTTTATTTAAATGATCATATATTATATCTTTTTTTTATATAAATAATTTATTCTGTTTTATATTCTTTTTAATGTTTATATTTCAAAAATAAATTTATTGTTAAAAATATGTTTCTTGTTTTACTATTTTTTGATAAAATTATAGATTTAAATTGTTAGAATTTTTTGTAATATTTTATTCTATACTATTGAATAATTTATTGATTTATATAATTACTTCTTATTTTTTATTTGAATGGTTACGCATAAAAAGTTTGAGAACCACTGCTGCATGGTATGGCATCACGCGAGGTAGTTACTCAACGTTTATTACACTTCTAAATATATTAAGCAATTTTTCCTGTGTATAGAGATCCATGGTAGTTTTAAAGAAAATTAAAAAAAAAGAAAGAAAAAAGATATAAAAGTAATGTTTCAAATTTCAAAATTTGAAATATCTATTATAAATATTTAAGGTATTTGAATTTAACCTATTTTCATTTTTTTTAAATTTAATAATAAATCAGTTTTTTGAAATTGAAATTGAAACATAAAGATTGATTTAAAAAGTAAAATTAAGTTAGAATTTAATGTGAAAATAATATTTATAAATTTATTCCTAAAGAATTGAAAAAGATAGTTTTAAATTCATGCTATTATTTTCATTGTTCATTAACTTAGTATCAAACAATGTTTGATATAGTAGTATCAAACGATAAACGTTATTTATAATTAAGAAAAAATAGCGTATAGATATATAAAAGCTTTTTAATTATTTAAAATTATATCAAATTATAGAAAATAAAGATTTATAATTAATCTGGGAAGTTTATATGTCTTTTCTTCCGCGCCAAGCGAAAGCATTTTACTACATGTGAACACTCTAAAATTCAAATAGCCTTAAGTCATTTCTATGACACAGGACTTTAATATAATACGATTACGATTTTATTTCATACAATTTTTCTTTATCGTTTCTCTTATAGATAATATACGAATAATTTTGTTTCGTGAAATATTAACAACATTATTGCAATAAAAGATTTTGCATAATAATTATCACACTTTCTTTCAAACAATTTTTATTTATATTACATAAGTATAACATTTAAAATGTTATATTTACAAAAATTATCAAGAACATGTTATTCGAAAGAAAATGTGATATGTTAATTTTATGAGTATATTTGTGATTGCAAGCATATTTCACATTACACTTCGCAAATACGTGCAGTATGTGATATAGTCTGCAACGATATGTTCGAAATATTCGAATTATATCTTGTTTTCTAACTTTGAAAATATAATGATAAAATAAAACTGTTACAACTATTTACATGGTTTAATGATGTGATAAAAAATTTTCCTTATTAATTTTCCTATATATTATTATATTTTCTATATTTTTTTGATTAATTTTTTGATTATCAAATTTGATTTATTATTATTATTATTATTATTTTGCTTTATTGCTTTCATTAAAATTTCGAAAAATTTGTTTTTGTTTTTTATATATATTATACTTTTGTTTTTTATATATTTTTTATATATTGTATGTAAATATGTAGACATTGATAGAAGAAATTTTATATACAATTAAAGGAATATTTTGTTATTAATTAGAATATTTATTTATAGAATTTTATTTTATTAACACATTTATTGTTTTTATTTTCAAAAAGGTTATCACGATGAATCACATTGTAAACAGTTTTCTTGAAATTCAAGAAAGTTTTCATTCAATTACAGCGGACAATCGTTGGATTGTCAAGAAGTAATTTATATCGTGTTGACGAATTTGTTAACTTTTAATGGATGTAGGATTCGAAACCGTGCATTTTAATCTTTTTCAGTGAAATTTTAATTATCATACTAAATTTTTAAATCACAAGACTTTCGAATTTCGATTTTACTCATTTAAAAATTTATATTTAAAGGCTTTCCTCTAACGAATTTTAAAAACATATTTATTTTGCTTAGGAAATTGATAATAACAAGAATTTCTCGTTATAAATTTAATTCAGCCTAGTTTCTATAATCAAATTTCAACATATAGATATTCTTTATGATATTAAAATATCTTTCATTAAAATTTAAAATATTTGTAAATAGTGTTTTTGAGATATTTATACAAGTTAGATATAATATAAACTTTTTACAATTATACATTGAATGTCTTATGGTTTCAAATCCTCTAAAAGATAGAGAGGTTTGCTCAGAGCGAAAATTTATAAAAATATTAATGTTTTTACAACCGATAATATATCTATATATACTCAAATATGAAGTTTATAATTTTTAAGAAATTACGTAAAAATAAAGAGCACTATCATATTTTCGCATTTATTGAATAAATATCTATATGGCAAACAACTATTATTCATATATACCTTCGCCATTTTCTATTTTTTAAAGCAGTCTTATTACTTTACTTTAAACGAACTCTAAAAAAAACTCGTTTCAATAAACCGCAATTGGATATTTATCTCATCTACACAAATAATATAATTTTTGAAATATACAATAATTAAATTTAAGTATTAAGATGGAGTGTTATAACGAATGCAATTACATTGATTAATTATGCGGTAATCGCATGAATTGCATTCTTTTTGAAAAAGTAATCATGTCTAAGACTTCGATTCTCGTATATTATATTTACAATTGTATTCACAGCAACATTTATATATGTATATTGCACTCGATCAACATATCGATTCTATTTATAAATAGTTAACGCACAATTGTCTTTTAATAAGCTAATAAAATTTATGTTGAAAATAAGAACGAAGAATTGATCTATATCGTAACATTTCGTTCATAAATTGGATATTAGTTTTGAAAATGAAAGAAACATGATACCGTGATGGACGTGAAAGATTTTTTCATTTTTGTTAATCAAATTAACCTGATTAACGTCACGTTACGTTTTCTCGTTTGCTTCGTCTCATCACTGTAATACCTATAGAACCTCTTATTTTGCGTAACAGATCTATTATATCAGCTGTCGTCATGTGCTCAACACTTTCATCATTTACCTGAAACAAAAATAATAAATAATGATATTTTAACAATATTTTAAAATAGTTTTTTATTTAAAAATTTTTAATCATATTATTTTATTCTTTTATTTTATTCTTTTTATTCTAATTTAATTGAAATAATTTCAAAATTATATTCTACAACATGATATTTCATAAAAATAATAAAAATAAGATATTCCTTGATCTCTACATGCGCGTTTACATATATATATATATATATATGTGCGTATTCTTAGATTTGAAAGAAGAAAAATTAAAATAGGAAAAGAAATGATAATTAGGAATGAAATTACCATCATAAGTACATCTCCTTGTTTTAATCTTCCATCCTTAGCTGCAACGCTATCAGGGTGTACCACTGATATAACTGTACGGTTTCCTTCCGGTTGCAAGCTGAATCCTAATCGACTATTCCAACCACGTGTCAGCTCTACCATGAACACCTTTAATAATAATAATTATGCAAATGAAATATATTTTAAGATATTTATTCAGTTTTTTCAATTTTTGTTACAAATAGAAATTTATTAATTTGAATGTTTATTATTTGAAAAACTTCACAAATTCTTCAGTCTCTTCTTTATACATTAAAAAATAGTAATTTTAATTTTTTTTTCCTACTAATAATAACATTCTCAAATCGAAGCATTTTTATCATTCGTATTTTATTTATTTATTTATTTCTTTTTGAATTCTTTATTTATACAATGATTGCTTTTCAAATGATATTCGAATATAAACGAAGGAATTAGGAATTAAACTATAACTCGTTCAACGAAAATCTCACCTCGATTCCTTGTTCAAGATTTTTATTAAGGGCAGCTGAATCTGTGGTATCTTTCCCGGTCTTCTCCTCTTCGTTTTTAGTTTTATCTATTCCATCATCTGGGGCGAACATCACGCCTTTCCACTTCAACAAACCCTTGCTACCACCCGGATCTTCTGCTCCTAAGATTTTCCCTGTACGGTACATAAAATTAAATCAGAACGTGTAATATAAAGTTTGTATCAGGCAGTTCATTTTAGTATCAGTTATAATTGTGCAAGTTATTTAATTATTTTTAGTTAAATATGAAATTAACGATCATTATTCTATTTATTTTTTACAAAATTTATCTTGACAATTGTGAAAAATAATATATGAAAAAATATGTAAATATATTCACGACAACAATTCACAATACAAATAAATAAAGACAAATTATGTAGTAGAGAAGTATAGTTTTTACGTTAATTATAATATATGATATAATTTCACATCAGTTTTTATCACAAGTAGAGTTATAACGTATGTATTAAGAATTATTGATTATTATATTATTTTATATATACGATAAAAAAAGATTAGATAATAAAGATTATATAAAATTTATTTTATTGCGATATATTTTAAGATTGAATAAAGATATTATATATTATTTAATGAACTGGCCGTATACAAGAAGCTTAACTGACTGTTGTACGCAAAATCAAGGTGACAACTCGATATGTATAATGGTAACAAGATATACATATTCGCACGCTACAAAAAGATAAGATAATGAAATGTTACTCGTTTCACGTTGATATCTTTTTTCTGTTTAAAGTAGCATGATTTGTTTTCTTCATTCTTATAATATCAAATTTGATATTCTTAATAAATATTAAATTTAATCAAGTTATTGTTATTTGGTAAATGTTATAAATAAATAAATTCGTAGAAATATAATTAGAAATATAATAAGAAAAAATTAATGCGTGTGCGAGTTACAACTATTAAAAAATTTATATCAGTATTTAGATAACAAAGAATTTTTCATTTAACGCTACTTAAATGTATCAATTCATTCATCTGTATTAAAAAATTAAAATTAGAGAATAAATTTTTTTCACATAATAATTTGTTTTAAAGAAAAATTATCTGAAAATTCAATGGACTGTTATATATAGTTTTGACAATAATAATTTGACTATAAAGAAAAATTACTTGTTTCTTTTATCTCACAGAAAATATTCATCCCTCATCAATCCTTTCTCTCGTCTCAATTTAAACTTAACGTAAATTTCGAACAAAATCAACCCAATATCCCAGAAATCAATATAACGAACTCACCATTCCAATCGAATCAATTCTAACCCTAATCCTTTTAACAAAAGAACCCGAAACAAATTCCCCTTAACCAACCAAAGCGTAACAACCTTTGTTCCAGCCAACTGTAACAAAATTAACTCCCTCTACGAAAAATAAAATACAGTAATGCCTTGTATCCTGGCCGAAATTTCGCCCCACATTATTCATCTTACATCTAAACAATCCCTGTTACAGACTCTGTCTCCGCAATTTCACTCCCCTATGATCATCGGTCCCCTGTTAGTCCAGGATTCAAGGCATCACGTTTACGTCAAAGTCAAGCTACTAGAAATTCACGGCTCGTCGAGTAGTGAAATATCGATGAACCTGGTATGTCCTGGTCGCTCGAGTGGGTGGCCTTGTTTTTCGTCACAGAGGTATCTATGCCGGCGCCGCAGGCTGGATTGGCGCTTTGATAAGCGGGATTCTTGTAACTGAACGCTGCGTTGCTCGAGCTGCTCGTCGAGGAGAGTACCGGTGGCATCGAGGCCGGTTCCGAGGGTAGATCGTTGTCGTGCTCGTTGCTGGACAACACGGACGACGGCTCGATCCTCTCGTAATCGCCGTCCGACGTAGTGCTCGTACGTAGCTCGTCCTCGATGATGATCGCGTCCCCGACACCGGGATAATCGAGATCTGAGTCCAGGTTGCAGAACTGAAAATGGGGCTTCCCCTGGGGCGCGGACAAGTCGAGGAAACTCGGTCGGGCCGGTGTCTTGGAGGAATCGCTCGAGTCGCAGACGTCGTACAGGGGTGGCGGATCGATTATGTCAGTTCCAGGTGTGTTTGGCTGGGAATTCGTTATCTGAGTCCTGATCGAGCACTGGTCGGAATCGGATGTCTCCGCCTGGCTGGCCGTCGATGTCGTGTGCACGCTCGGATGCTTCTCCACAGTTTCTGCAACGATGGATATCATCTCTCTTAGACCATGTTTTTTCAGTTATTGGATGGAGTCGATCAGATGGACCGACCTCTCTATTTTTCTATTTTCTTTTTTTTTTATGCTGATGAGCACTGCCTTTGCGCCTCCTTTCGTATTCCCCCGCGCTATATTTAGCTTTCGTTTATTCGTTACTCGAAACGAGACGAGCTTTGATACGGCTTTCAGTTTAGGCTGAGATTATTTTATGATGAATTTTTTCCCTTTTCGTTCACTTTTCATGTTTCGAAAAAGTATATCGAAAGTTTTGTTGAACCATTTGAAAAAGATTTTTTAATAATTTTCGTTCAACGAAAGGAAAAGTACGAGAAGATTAAAAAACTCGAACGTTCACTTTTAACTGATGAATTAAATATTACAAGAATTTTATTAGCTCGAAACTAAATCGAGATAATTCTTTTATAACACGAAAAAATTTGTGATAATTTTATTCATCCAACTCTCCTTTCCTTTCCTTCCTTTAAAAATAACGATACCTTCATCGGCAGTAGGAGTACGCGTAGCAAGACGACGTAGTCTTCTCGGAGAGTTGCAAGATGTTCCGGATGATTGTTTGCAACTAGATCCGCTCGATGTACCGGGTGACAATTTTCGAACCGCCAGATCGCACAGCATATCTACAGCCTCTTGTCTGCAAATCGTATTACCAATATTAATTACCAATTTCAACCGAATTAAAAATTCACGAATTTCAGGAAATTTATCGATTCCAAAAATTTCAAAAATCAAAATTATCGAAAAGATTTTTCGAATCTCTTCTTCAAATCGAAAAAAAAAAATGTGAAGAAAGAAATTCGTTAAGTTTGTTGTAAAGAGGGTAAGTAAGTTTATACCTCAAACTGGTACGTGGTGGACGGAGTGGATGATCGGGCTCGGTCGGAGAAAGAGCGGAGACAGGAGTTTGCGCGAGATCCCTGTACAATCGTAATCTCACGGTCGGTCCACATTGTCGCAGCAGTTGGACAGCCTCTTCGTGGCTCATGGGCGACAACGGTGCACCGTCCACGGCCACTATTTTGTCCCCGGGTCGAATTCGTCCGTCGCTCAACGCTGGCTCACGTACTAATGCCCTCACGTAATGGCCGAGCGCGCTGCTATCCGCCTTCCTCAGAGTGAAGCCCAGACTACCGCCGACCTTTGTCATTTCTATGTCGAATTCCTGGCAGGGAGCGATTTAACGAAAGAGTTTAGTTCGTTTAATCCCCCCCTCTCTCTGTGGCGAATCGTTCGGGATTAGCGCTTCCCTTTGCGGAAATGAAAGAGCAAGCTATACGTATGGAAATTCGGAAATGAGATTTTTGTTGGAAAGCAGGAAATTTTGAAAGTTTTGAAAGAGGAATTTCTCTTTTAATATTTTGGAAAAGAAATGAAATTAAAATTGCGTGCATATTTATGGTTACATAACAAATAAAGTAGAAAATTATTAAATTTTCGTTGGATATAAAAAATTGAAACTAAGATATAAAAAGAAAAAATATATAACGAAGGTATATAAGTTATTATAATTAAATACGTGTAATGAGAAAAAAAGTTATGAATAAATTGCTTTATAATATGAGTTTTTATCCGATTCCATATTCATTGATGTGTTCGATGTAGGAACACGAGGGATTTATTATAAATGCATCGGAAAACCGTGTATACCCCTCGGAAATCTAAATTGTAAACGAACTTTGATCAAATTTCGTATTCCTCTTGAAGGGAAGGGGGACTTTCCACATGTAACAGATAGTACATTCGTTGTTCATTTTGTACGACAGGAATGAGCATAGAATTTTTCACTAATCACTTTTATACATTTGAAACATTGAAGAAAGAATGATCTTGCAAAAAGAGATTTTACTAAATCGTTGTTATTCTCGTCTAATAACGATATAACATATCAATTTCAATCTCTCGTTTAAAAGGAGTGGAAAATTATGGAATTCGGTGTGCGATTCACTGATGCAGGAAATTCAGCTATCTAGGATTTCCTGATAAAAGTTACTTACGCCGCAGGGTTCGATTTGAAGGGGTGGCAGAGGATTGAGTATTCGCAATGGTGGTGGTGGTTCACGCCTTGCTGGGGGTGGTGGTGGTGCACCCGGTGGTGTGACACTCATATCACCCGGAAGTCGGGACACCACTAACTCGACAGTACTGGGTGTCGTTCGTAGAACTTCGAGGGCCTCCTGCAACAAGTTGCAGATAAAATTAATAATTTTCTTCAACGATGAAAAATATATTTATATTTATATATCTTCGCTAATAATAAATTATCGTTTATATATATCAAAAATTTAAAGTAGCCTTTCATAGCCATCAATTTGTTGATCAATTTCTTTTCTTTTTTATATTTATCTTTGCAGATAAGGTGAAAATTGTACGTAATTTTAATTTACAATCTTTTTTTTAAACGCCTCACGTTTCTAGGAAACGTGATATATTCACATATAATAATATCTAAGAATTCTCGTTTCTTTTTTCTTTTATGAAGAATATGAGCTTTGCACGTGGCTGCAAACCACGCGTTCTCTCTTCATCTTCTGGTCTATCCCACTTATGCTCACCGTTTAACGCGATGAGCTGGCTGCGACAAAATAGCGATTACTATAGCTTTAGATGGGAGCTACGGGTTTGTCTTCTCGTAGCTCTTACGAGATTTGCATTTGATTAGCATAATGCAGCTACATCCGGAACTCGGAGTAAAGATCGTCGCCTATCTTATCGTTGTCGCCCCGTTTGTCTCCCGAGAATCGAGATGCAATATCGGTTTAATATTGTGGGCCTCAGACGCGTGAGATAACCCGTTAATTATTAACCTCGAAATCTTATGCACGAACTTGTTGAACAATTTGATAAACGATTCAAAACACGGATGAAAATACGTACAAATATCATATCATATGTACAAATATTGTTCAACGAGTTTTTTTAATTTAATTAATTTAAAAAATTTTTTAAAAAAGAGGAGAAATTTGTTAAAACTATATATATATATATATAATGTTGATTTCCTTACATAGTTAGTGAGACCGGTTAAAGGAATTCCATTGGCAGCCAAAAGTATATCGCCAGGTTGAAGTTTGTTGGATAAGGCTGCAGGTTGTTGAGGAAACAGTCTTTTTACCCTAACAGGGCCGGCTGTCCCACCGCCGGAAACGCTTAAGCCAAGTCCTCGGCTGCTTTTCTGCAATGTCACTCGGAACGTGCTCTCTGAAAATCATACAAAGTGCCGTTTAATTTCAAAGCAACTGCTTCAAACTTTTTTTTTTTTTTTCCCCCCTTTTTAAAATGTCCTAGGAGAAAATCTGTCTTCGAATTAACGACGAGGATAACGAAATTATAATTGCTGTCTTTCGAACGGATGTATCCTTAGATATATCATACGAATTTTTTTTTTGTTAATTAATCGTTTTTTAATCGAAATATAATATTTATATATTTCATGGTAGTCTAAAATAAAATAAATTCTTATGATTTATAATCATATATAGGTTTCTAACTTAAAAAAATATCGCGAATTAATTTAAATCACATATTCAATTCTGTTAATTATTCCAAAATTTTTATTTTTTAAACAAATAATTTAAATAATAAGATTTTTAATCGATTTTAGACATCAACTCGTCGTCAATATAACACATTCACGTATAATCAAATTTAATTAAAATATTTTTATCAATATAGTTCAATACCTTCGATACATGTATCCTTCTTAAATGGAGAGGACATATGTCAATTTTTAAACGATTTCACCTCAACAACAAATTCACGAAAAACATAGATCGAACGTTTCGTTTCGTGCTACACCATACTTCGACCAGTTTATTTCCATCGAATGGGTACAAAGAGAGCAAACGAAAAAGCGAATGAATCGTTCGTTTACACTGCAAAGGCAGAGCATGCCGTTCCGTAAATATTTATATCGCGAACAAGAGGAAGGAGCACACCGGTTCTTTTTTACCTGTGCCCGGTCTACATTCCCCAAAATTGTAGTCCGTTTGTAATTTACGATCCTCTCTGACGCATGACCTAATATTTGGAATTGGAACTGGAACAATTATTTTCCATCCCTCTCGTCCGTGCAACCTCACTTATACGCCACCAAACCTTGAATATTTCAGTTGTTATAATGACTTTTACGAAGGCCCCATAATTTCCAACTATCCCACCATGAAATATGAAAATTTTGAAATCTATCTGAAATTTTGCAAATATTTAGAGAGAAGTAATGATTATCTTTTTGCGATGTAAATTTTCTCGTCGAGGAAGATTTTAGGTTTGGGATAGAAATTTATATAATTTTTTTTAAAGAAAGATTTTAAGAAGATTTAAAGGAATTTGGGATTAAAAAAAGAAGAAAAAAACGTTTTTGTAAACGTTTTCAACTTGTTTTTCAACTTGTGTAAATATATCTGGTACTGAGTATTGAAAAAAGGTGTATTTTCAAAAAGATTGTATATTCGTCAAATTTCGAGATTTTTATTTCATCGTTTATATATATACATCATGAAATAGCTCGCTTCAATTTTTCCCGTATAGAAGTTTTTGTTAACAGAGATTTATGCCATGTAACGCATACATTCTAACAGATTTTTATTTACCTATCACGCTTCTCTTTTTTTTTCCCCTCTAAAAGAAAACAGGAAACAAAAATTAAACTGAGTAAACTTGAAAAACACAATGACAAATATGATATACGACATTTTTAACAAAACAATTTTATTCGATTCCTAAATAATATCTTCTCATCAAAGAAGAATACATTTCTCGATACATTTTCTACCTTTTCAATCGTCCTCAAACCGAACCGATTCCGATAATTATCATCTCATCATCTCATCCATCATCGACTTTCGTAAAAGACAAATTATCACGATCAATGAAATTGATCGCAGCTTTAACCGCGTTCTCTCTCTCTCTCACTCTCTCTCTCTGCGTTCGATCTCTCTTTTTTTCCTTTTTTTTTCGGCCATGGACTTAGCATGGAACACCAGTTCGAAATGACACGCCTTTTACCGGATATTGACCCGATCCGGACGACATATCGCGCGTATTGTTCACTTTGTTCCCCATTCAGATCGGTTCCCCTCTCAACGGGTAATTTACGTTTGTCACGTTTATTGTCCGGGATCGCGCAGTGTCGATCTCCCACCGAAAGAGCATCGGCCATTGTTCGCCCATCGTTTCGAAATCCCGAACGAGTGATCATCCTCTCGAAACCGGCCAAGTTTAAGAATCGATATCCGAACGATTTACGGCTCGCCATCTGTCATTATCGCCGGTTACGGATGGGGTGAGAGAAAATTCGAATGCGGAACGAATTTGGACCAGTTTAATCGCGTGTTCGTGGAAGGAAAGGTTCGGGGGGGGAAAAAAGGTAAAATTAGAATTGGTCTCGGGTTCTCGAGCTTGCAGAAATTGGAATTGTATTGAAATAGGAAGAGGGTAGAATCGGAGAGAATGGGGAAAGTAGGTATTTCACGGTGATAAAGGTTTATTAAACGATGTTTGCGTATCGTTTCCCTTTTTAAATATACGCGATAAACGAATAAAACGAATAAATTGTTTTAATCAATAAAATTAACTCGTGAAGATCCTCGTCACGATATTTTATATTTGTATTTAAACTATGGTAAAAAAAGTAGTAATATAATTCGATTGATTCGATGTTATTTTATTAAAAAAAAAAAAAATAAATAAATAAAAAGAAAGGGCGAAAAGATTTGTATATACGATAAACTTTTACGATGAACTTTTTGAACAAGCGTGTACAAATTTTTTTTTTAATTTCGTTAACTTTTCCTCCGTCGCGGATTGAATACGTTAAATCAAAACGAGGGAAAACTGTGTTTAATAATATGTGCATCGTCGTTCGAAAATTTAACAGATTTGAGGGAATTTAGTCGGGCGGGAAATCCTCAAGCGTGAAGAATCCGCACGTAATGTCAAATTGCGTTTTATTCCGGTGAACTATCTCATTTTATAATACCACGGATTTTCGTAGTTTCAGAATTTCGACCGAAAACGTTCGTTTTATCGCCGGCTAGATTGTTTGGAAGTAATGGAGTGGATGGTTTTGTCGGCGTTTGATAAACGCCTCGTAAAATTCAACCGTGATATTCCGCATCGTTATTGCTGCTAATATCATTGCTAATATCGTTAAACTTGTTTGTTTGACAACATAGCTGTGTGCTGGACGATCGTGATCATTCATTGAACTCGTTACATTTTAGTTAATTTTTTTTTGGATCATGAAATTTTCTATTCTTTAAGATTCGAGGAAGAAAGAAAGAAAGAAACTCAAAATGAATTTGTAATTAATAATTGGATCGATGTTAGATATTGTAAGAAACGCGGTAGCGTCTCGTCTTAAGAAATTTGTCATTAGAATGAAAAACTTCCAATGTTCGTTCACGCTTAAAGGAACAACGTGTAATATTAATGGAATGGAAACGAACAAAGAAGAGAACGCGTGAGTCCAGTTCAAGAAGATTAATGTTCTTTTTTTTTCCTTTTCACTTTTGAATTTATTATTCGCGGTAACTTAACTTAATAACTCCCCTAATGAATTTCCTGTTAGAGAATTTTTTTAAACTTTATTAGAAGAAAAATTTTAAATAAGATAATTCGAATATATAATTTTAAAACGATCGATCTCAAATTACATCGATATTATGTGCAAAATAAGATAATAGATATTGTTTAAAAATACTAATTTACATTTTATTTTCCAATTTTATACATAACTGAGGCATGAAACATTGTATTATACTGAGCTATATACGTCATTAGAATTTCATATCATAATTAATATTCGCATCAACGGTAATTACCCCAAATATTTAATAATAACTTTATACTTAAATTGCGCATGTGCGCGTTATCGAATATGTTTAATTTGCATATTTGCAAAACCATTTAACGTTCGAAAAATAATTTAGCGAAAAATTCAAAGGTTTAAAATTTCTTCATTCACTGATCATTAATATTATTTCTTTTTAAAAATTACGATTAATGGTTATGACTTATGTACAAAATATTTTCTTATATATCTACTTTTATTTAGAATTTCAATAATAAGAAAGAAAAAAAAAACTTACTGATACGTGAAATAGCGTGAACATACCGTGTAATAAAAATACACAAATGGGCTGAATGTAATGCAAATATCTACATATGCATGCAATTGCCAAATTGCTAATTCCAAGCAAGCTCTCGAAATTCTGGTAAAGCGTGAGCACTAATTTAAGCAATCCTATCTGCAGTTAAAGAGAAATCCAAGGCTCAACCGTTAAATAGAAAAGCCCAGAGCCAGAATCGAAATAGCATGGAGTATCCGCTCAAAATTTATGATCCATGAATTTGAGAGGTATGGTTGAACGTATTAATTTAATTTTCATTCACCTTTGATGAGAGGAATCGAAGAGTATCCGTTTCCCATTTATTTTCTACGTTTCTCTTTGTTTGTCAATCGATCAATTTTAATTAGACGATTATATTAATTGCCTCTTTTAATCGTGTGTTATCTCGCGCAATATATTTTTTTTTTTCCCCGATTCTTTCGTTTCAGAGTTAATTCGTTAATTCACGGATATTACTTTTATTATTCGTTTATTATTATTATTTATATCACTATTGCTCGTTTAATCACAATTTTATTACACTTTGAAATATCGTCCGTGAATGCACTTGACTAAAAGCGAGGAAATTCATTAATATGTATAATGTTATATACAACGAAAATATTCGCTCTCTGAAGTATTTATTCGAGACTCGCGTGCATAAATGTATTTCATTACCTTACATGAAAAATCAAATTTTCCCGCGTTAATGGATATAACATTTTAACGAAAAAAACGGCGCGCGCATTTAATTATGGCGGACGGTGATGTTTTGATATTTATTAATTCATATTTTACTCGAAAATTTCTTCTATCCATAATGACATGTTAATATTTCATTATTAAAAAGAAAAAGTTATTAAAATAATACTAAATTTTATTCGAAACTTTTTCATTTCCATTTTTATACAAGTTTCCTTATTGCAGTGAAATTTTTTTCAGGATTTATTTAAATCTTCCATCTTTTCTTTTCTTTTCTTTTTTCTTTTTTTACAGCGTTCTTGCGTATTTAATAACCATTTTAGCTGTTTTACAATGAAGCCCACGTGATACTTCCCACGACGGCTTAGATAAGATTTAACAGAAAAT